CTACAGATAATCCGAGAGAGGGGTGGATATTTTCATATTTATTCTCATTCTAATTGTAATTTTCCGCTTTTCCAGATTTTTATTCGCATTTCTGTTGTCCAGGGAATGCCGGGATCCCGGGATGTAACAGAAACGTAAAAAAACAGACGAGCAAAAACAAAACTGAAAGAAAATAGGGGAATGAAAAATACTGGATTTTCATTTCAAAGTTATGTGATGGCTTTAATTAAATTTTCACGATTATGAACGCTTTCAGGAAATCCGACGGTGTACAGAAATAATGAAACGAGAGGGTGGGGAGTTGGCGGGTGGGCCGAATAGCATAAATTGACCAAGAGTGCGTGAGTCGAAATTCATGCAGAATTCACTTGAAAAATCAGGAAATAGAAATAACTTTCAATTGCAGGATGTTCCTCGCACAGGAAATATATATATTCGCAGATACATGTCGCGTGTGTGTTATGTATGTTCAATAGATGCCAATGATATCAATTTTATTTACAGTAAAAACAATTCGGTGTTGATGTCTCTAGTGTGAAGGGTTAAATATTTCGGATTTACATTCAACAGAGCCGATCACCATAGTTTAGCACCATAACTGGAACGAATTGGCATAATCGCATTGTCGCTATGCAAATTGGGTTATAAAAAAGAAAACATCGATCACGTCCTGTGGCAATGCCCGCTGTACAATGATTCCAGACAAATCTAGTTTCAAAAACTTATGAACCAAAATTTTTTTCCCCCACATTATGCACAAGAATTCCTCATTAGACTAGACAAAAACTGTCTTGTTATAAGTAACGAGATTCTTCTCAAATGTTCCTTAAAAATTTGAATTGTATTGTTAATAGTTCTAAGCTACCACAACATCTGGAAATAATCCACATGGTCTCATGTTTATAACATAAAATATGTATGCAAATTGAATTGTAATTATTCAGAAATGCTTAAATAAAAAAAAGACGAGAATTCCTAGATCTATTTGAATTTCAATGGAGTCGTGAATATTGAGTGCCGAATTAAGATTAATTTTCAATTATTTTAAAATCTACGAATATGTTCACCGAAATTTTTCTGATTTCTATTAATTTTCAGGGGATTCGTACCAAAATAAATATTTATTCGATTTTATTTTATGGAGAATCTGCGCATAATTTGAAAAATACTCTTTACTAAAAATCTAGACAAAATCTAGACCCCTAAAAATCTGGACAAATTGTAATCTCATATTTCGTAGTAAAGAAATCGAAGTTTAATACACATTAATAACTCATTTTCAAAGTATAACAAGTGGAAAATTGATCTTGTATCGCATGTAGTATCGTTATTTTTGCTAATAAATTCTATCATGTATAATTCATTGTTTATTTAATTTTATTAAATTTAATAAGATTTACTATTGACTAATTTTTTTTTGTTTTCAAATTAGTTGAATATGATCATCGTCATTATTCTTATTATCCCTTTCTTCTATACAATCGATTGTCATTTTTGCAGTTCTATCTCTCCCCTCCGCCCTTCGATAAAATGTTAATAGAAAATTTTTATTTACACATACTTGAATGAATTTGAAACATCACATTTGAAGAAATCATTAAAATGCTCACTTTCAGGGAAATTCCTGAAAAATTCGAAATTTTCAACAATCATCATAGAAATCAAATTAACCAATATAGCTATCGTAATCATCTTTAAACGTCGACTTGATGGCATTAAAACAAACATTTTAAGATATGATTGAATTCATTTGAAGCATGATATTCCAACATATTTCCGGAATTCTGATTTTCAAAAAATACAAAATTTTTGCGAATTTTCAAATAAATCAAAACAACAATTTTTGCGATCGCCTTCATCTTCGAACTCGGTCAAACCGACATCCAAACAAATTTTTTAAGCCGTCATTCAATCAATTCAAAACATTTTTTTAGTTCACCTGGGACAATCGATTTTTGAAAAAATTAAAAAATTGAAACAACTAATCAATGAATTAAATTTTAACTAAAAGTGATCGATAGGGCTCAACAATACCTACATTAAGAAAAAAGATTCAATTTAATCCATTCATTAGCGAAGAAAAAGTTTGTTACACACCTACACACATGTACACCCATTCGGACGAGGTCTAAAAATTGCATTTTCGGACTTTTCGGATCATACTGGAACACAAAAAATCCAAAACTTGAATTTGAACGATTGCAAAGCTTCCACTCGGAAGCAAAAAATAAAAAAACAGTATATCAATCGTAAATTACCCTGAGTGATCTTAATTGTCAACTTGAATTGTCAAAACAGTCTAACTGAAATGGCATAAGTGTCCATCTTTCCTATTTCATTCAATTCATCTCTAATTACTCGATCCCAGATCCCGTATTTCATTCAATTCATCTCTAATGTTCCATCTCTCCAACGAAAAATTTGACGAAAGTACAAGTCAAAGATCCCTCAGCCGTCATACCCAATAAAAAATCCCTGCCCTAAAAAGAGAATTAATTTCACCCCCTCGACTCCTAATTCGAAATGTCTCGGTCTGCTATTTTTAATATCTCAACCCGAGCCTGAGAAGCGTGCAGACAATTTCCTCTCCCTTTGTCGCATCAAACAATCGCGCAATTGTGGAGCACGGAATGGCCAGGGTAAGGAAAAATAAATAGAAAGCTTTGTGGTGACTCGTACGTGAGAGAAGTCATGCACCTCCAGACGCTCCAACAGCTTTCATGTTCGGCCTGCCCTCCTCTCCTCTCTCTCTGTTTCCCTGGACAGAGGGCTCATGTATTTCCGATTAGATCCTCAGAAAAAAAGCGTCTTTACTCTTTATTGAAATTTTCATCTCCGTTTGCTCGCTATCCCTTTTGGAAAAGCCAATTTATTTCAGCCGAAACGTATACATATAAGCTGACTCTGTGATCTCCGCACCACACGTGCTATTTTCATAAAAGGGAAGCATTTTATCGGCTCAACTTCAAGGGTTTTTCAACTTACAACAAAATCAAAAAGAACTAAAGGGAGTTTTTCCCTTCATGAAACGGTTGTGTCCAACTTCTGCTTTTTTCCTGAGTAACAAGGAAAATCGATATAAAAGTTTCTATTGCTCCCTGACATGAGAACAAATGCCTCCGATTTTCGTTAGGATTTCCCTCTCGATCTGCGAGTATTCAAACTTTCCCATCAAGAATTTCCCATTCCTCTATTAAAAAATTGGTGGCGCTTTTTTGTCAGCATTTTACTTCGCCAAGGATAACCTTAAGTTTTTTTTATTTATTTATTGCTTCATGAGAATTTACATAATTCTCTTGTAGCAAGAGGATAACCTTAAGTTTAGGTACAAGGATAATCTTTGCTTAAGATCATAGATTATACAAATCTTTGTTTTATATTCATTTTTAAAAGGATATTTTCTAAATATATTTTTTTATACATATATATGAGGTATTCCACACCAAATGAGTCAACTGTTGACCCTCACCCTCTTGAAAAATCATATCTCTAAACAGTCCAATTTGGAGATATGATTTTTTTCTCGTTTTTCCGTTTTTTTTTGATAACTCGAGTTCTATCAATCCGATTTTTATTTATTAAGCGTCAAAATTTTTCATTTTTTACTGCCTATAAGAATATTTTTAGTACATTTTTTTTTTATATTTAGATGCTCATAATAACGATTTTTCGAGAAAAAAAGTTGAAAAAATTGAATTTTACAAATTACGTCACTTTTGATTTGTTTCATTTTTTTTCAGTAATTCTTATAATCAAAACAAGTCTTCTGAGCCCTCATTCAAGTTGAGTATTTTCCTGGATCTATTTAATTTTTAATTTTTTCTTTTCGAAATTTCGCAAATTTGGTCAAAACACCATAAAACGACTTCGATTATGTACCGAAAAAATATGTAATATATAGGTATACAGTCAAATTTACTTCATACCGACTATAATCAAAGTCAATCAACGCCATTTTGGGGTGTTTTGACCAAATTTACGGAATTTTGAAAAGAAAAAATTGAAAATAAGATAGATGCAGGAGGATCCCCAATTTATATGATGGCTCAAAATACTCGTTTTGATTATAAGAACTACTGAAAAAAAAATGAAACAAATGAAAAGTGACACAATTTGCAAAATTCAACTGTTTCAACTTTTTTTCAAAAATTCGTTATTATAAGCATCTAGAAATCGAAAAAAATTTTTTACTAAAAATACTCTTATAGGCAGTAAAAAATGAAAAATTTTGACGCTTAATAAATCAAAATCGGATGAATAGATCTCAAGTTATTGAAAAAAAAACGGAAAAACGAGAAAAAAATCATATCTCCAAACTGGGCTGCCGAAAAAAACTGAAACAATTTGAGAGACAGTTTTTGAACTGCCCCAATCGTAGAAAAAATCGCCAGCAATTTCCAAGCGGGTGAGGGCCAACGGTTGACGCATTTGGCGTGGAATACCTCATATAAATGAGGATAGAAATAAAAAATTGAAAAACTATCTTCTTTTAAAGAGATAAAAAAAGGTTTGTACAATCCAGGATCTTCAGCAAAGATTAACTAATGAGTGGATTCTGTTCTGAATACTTTATGGAACAATTCAACTATCTTGTGACATGAAGCAATCGTTTAGTGTGAAATAATATAATTCTAGCTGTAAAAACTTATGGTAGAAAGGTAATATTGAATTATAAGTTCCTCTCATTGTTTATTGTTACTTTTATTATTTTCTAAAATAAATGAAAGGATAAAAAAAAAATGAACCACTAGCTTAAGAATGCGCGCGTTCCTTTTCTAGTTTACGAAAAAAATGCACCACTGAGTTTTCTATTACAAGTGGAAGGAAAATAGATATTGAAACACATTTTCCGTCGAAACTTGTCTTTCAAAGTCAAAATACCGTGATGCTAACCGGCGTGCATGGGTTGGAAATATACATGTCAGTGAGCATTTGATAATGGAAAATATACATTGTGTGTTACACGAAGGGCTGCTGCAAGGTTGCATGGGCACACTTACCCCGCTTCACGTCTCGCCACGTGTTCGTGATTTCGTCGAATCTTCTAGCGCTTTCGTGCCTGAGGTTTCCAACAGCAGGTATAATGATTTCACATTGTACGTTGGCTTTGTCTCGGTTTACTCTGTAATTAGATTAATAATTGTTTTAATTTTCGGGCGGATGAGGTTAATGAGAGGGGTGCAACTTACTTCAGTTGTTAGCTAAATTAATTTTAATTTGTAGGGATTTGTGGTTTCGTGATAACATAAACTTGCTGTTGGGTTCTTAATTTGAGGTATTAATGGAAGATTTGGTGAGTTCAGAATGGATTACATGTGAAATGTAATTGGTGAATGGTCATCGTGCTATTGGAAAGTCGGAATCATTCATCGAAATGTCCATTTAGCGAACGAATCAAAATTCAAATTAGGGTCAAATCTGGAACTAATCCCGAGTCGAATTTTTTACTTGAAAAGTCCAGGAGATGAAGGCAGAATTAATGTTGTTATGTTCCGTTTAGGAGTGCTCCATTTTTTCAAGAATTTGGGTGAAAGACCCCATCCAGGTCAACATCACGATTCGTTTATGACTGACGAATGTCCATAATTTTCTGATTTTTTTATCAGAAAATTTTAGTCAATTATTTTGTAAAAAGGTGAAGACTAGAAAATCTTTTAGACTTTTATCGGTCTTTACAAAAATTTTTAACTGAAATTTCTGATACACTTTTTGGAAATTTTTATGATATTTTAGTTCCATCGAAATTTTCAAGACGTTTGTCATTGAAGATTTAGATTTTTTTTTTGAAAAAAAAAATGTAAACTGTCAATTTCAGTGCAATTATTCCTTGAAAATCAGTACGAATCAAGAAAATTCTGTTCTTGAATATTCAATTAATCGAAAATTCCTCGTAATTCGGCCCTAGATGATTTCATTGAAAATTCAAATAGGTTGAGAAATCCCCATCTCAATACTGTTCAAAAATTTAAAATTTCATTGAATTTCCAACGAAATTTTAAATTTTATCATTTTTCCCCTTTAAATCGCATACAATGTCAGTCTCCTGAAAATTATTAGCACAAAAGAAAATATCCTCACATCGGGTATCTGTATTCCGGAATTCGGAATCTTATATTCTGGAATCTAGAATAATATACCGGAATCCGGAATATTATCGTCTGAAATCGAGAACAATATTCCACAATGGGAAATATTTCATTTTCGATTCCAAAAAATATTCCGGAACCCAGAATATTTTATTCTCAATTCTGGAATAACATTCCGGAGACTTTCTCACATTGATGCTTGTTTGAAAATTGATGAAGACATTTTTCTGCTATTGAAAAAGTCGCAATGGATGTGGAAATGTACAACGAACATATATTTCGCACTCGATTCAATTATGGATTAACTAAAAATTTAAAAATTCTTAAATTCTGGGGTCGAAATACTTTGAGAATTCAATAGGAAATACTTTGGATTTTTTTTAACGATGTTTCCACGGGAAAAAATTGAAAATTTCTGTCAGAATTACATGATGTTATCAAATATTTGCATAATAAAACAGAAAAAAATTCTCAGTCAATATTGAGAAATACAAGTGCACTGTTAATAAATTTCGTCGGAATTTTCCCTGTGAAATCCTGAAAATTTTTATCATGTTCAATTTCCACCGAAATTGCAGCAAATCTTGTCGTTGAAAAATGAAATATTCCGTTGACTTTTTGATCGAATGATCTGAAAATCAATAAAATACCTGATTTTTCAGTGTAATTATTCCGTGAAAATTCGTAAAAATCTGAAAAAGTCAGAGAAAAATTAGAAACTCATGTCGTTTCTGAGAATTCATTTTCCGTTGAAAACTCAGTCAAATTATGAAATGTCCATCTCACAGCCACTGAAAACTCATGAATTTCCTTCAATTCTACCTACAACTTCCAATTTCGTACCCATTTTTCTCCTAAATCGGATTCAACGTCGCTCTCAAGAAAATTACTACCACATTTTCCATGAAATTTCGAAAAATTTCCAACAGTGGGGACGGTACAGGTACCAGCTACCCTATCTCCCGAAGACGAAGGAGACTCCATCACATTCTTATCCAAAACACCGTATAATAGTGACCGATTTCCGATGAGTCTCAACTCTCAATTCGCCTCACGTAGCATCGGAACATCGCGAATCGTCAGCGCGTACAAAAGTGCACATATATCCACTCGCCTCTGTAACACTATTCTACACCCGAGCAACGCCATGTGTACCCCACATGTGTCAAATGCATGATGCATCCCAACACGAATATGCAGTCTACTAGGAGCCCGCACTATTTCCCGTGATGTTGTATCTACGCGCTGCGTCCGGCCATAACTGCAGACGACTGCTACATCCTGCAGCTTCTCAGGCTTACGTCTTCCGAATTACAATTTTTTTTTTTTATAAATGGTACTGATGTTATCAAGTATCATCGCGGAAACAACGAAAGGTTCAAGAGGGTTCAATTACAACTGCAGTAATGAAAGCAATTCAGAGAAGTAATTGCATTGCAAACTCAATCCCCGGGATGAAGGATGTAATCCTGGAAATCTTTATGATCACGTAACTTTTATTGGGTATCCCGAGGGAATCCTTGGGCCAAAGGTTTTTTTTTTATCGGGGAGCAGCTTTTTCCTCGATCATTTATTTTTAACTCTAATTCTCTACCATTCCACTGTCTTCCCGACGAGTTAACGGCGGGCTCTAATACACTGGCCCCTGTTAATTCTTCTCCATTTGGGCGGAGAGTTCAATCTTTCTTGGCGTTTGCTCATCGGAAGGGAGAATGACTAAAATTTTCGGTTTTAGTTCTTGTTTGAAATGCTGCACACGGTGCTGAAAAATTTCGTCTGAATTTTCCGTGTCAAATTCCAAGAATTTTTATAGTGTTGAATTTTCACTAAGATTTAAGGAAATCTTGTCATTGAAAAATGAAATATTGATTTGCTGTTCAAATGATTTGAAAATGAATAAAATACCTCCGACTCCAATCCCAAGTTAAAACAAGTGGGAAATTGCCCCTGTATTACGTATAGTACAGTTATTTGTGCGAATAAATTAGCCATATGCTTCTGAACGGTCATTTTGCTTACTTTTTTGCATTGTATATTATTCATGGCCTATTTCATTTTCTTGAATTGAATCAATTTCTTTCCAGCTAATTGTTTTAGATTTTCCACTTAATGCAATTCTAATAATTTCTGGAAATTTCTGCGAAATATTATTAGGAATATTTCATTTATACATAATTGAATGCATTCGGAGAATCACATTTAAAGGAATCATCAGAAAGCTAACTTTCAAGAGAATTCATGAAAAATTCGAAATTTGCAAAAGTTATCCTAAAAATCAAATTGACCGAGACAATTATTGTAACCATCTTCTAACTTCGATATAGTCGCATAGAAACAAACATATTAAGCTATGATTGAATTCATTTGAAGCGCAATATCCAGAGATACGTGCGGAATTCTGATTTTCGAAAAATACGAAATTTTGGAAAAATTTCACAGAAATCAAAATAACGATTATTCCTAGCGTTTTCACCTTCGAACTCAGTCAAAAGGACATCTCAGCGAATTTTTTAAGCCGTCATTCAATGAACTTAGAACATTTTTTTTAGTTATCGTGTTACAACTGAATTTTGAAAAAATTAGGAATTAAAAAAAATGAATCAATGAATTAAATTTAATTAATGGCGATGGATAGGCATTACTTCTTAGCAATACCTTCATTTGAGAACAAAATGATTCAATTCCATCGATTCATTAGCGAGAAATTGACGAAAAACTTCGTCACATACATACATACACACATACGGACGGACATGGTCTAAAAAATGCATCTTTGAACTTTTTGAATCATAATGGGTCGATATAATACAAAAAATCCAAAACTTAAATTTGGACGATCACAATGCTTCCATTGGGAAGCAAAATGGGCGAAATTCTTAAAAATCCTACACTGTTAGATTTTTTTTTTGAAATTGAAGCAACAAATGCATTTGAATTTTCAATATTCGGAAATTGAATTCAATTTTAGACTAAATTGCTCATGGAATTCCTGATTCATCTTGGAAATTCAATAAAATTAAGTTTTTCATGATGAATCATCATTGAATTTTCAATGACAATTTGGATTTTCACACCTACACTGAGAGAAAAAATTATTCCTGCCAAGGATTGATATTCTCGTCAGAAGATAATATTTTTTCAGAACGAATTTTTCCAGGACAGTCATTTTCAGAGAGTCCAAGTCTATCCTCAAAAATTACAGTGATATTGAACAATCTGATTATTATGCTACATATGACCTTGACAAAATGTTCTCCGATATCTTCCGGATTTTACAAATTGGCGATTTTCTCAGGTAAAGAAAATTGGAATAATTCCAAATGTTAATAATTATTATAGGAGTTTCTTCGAGGTCATATGCAGAAGAATATTCTTATAGATCACCATAATTCTCACGCTTGAAACTGATTTTGGAGCACCTGGAAATGACTGGCCTGGAGAAATACGTTCCAAAAGAAATATTTTCTTCTACTAAGAGTATGAAAAAGATATCACCAATAACATTTTCTTGGAAGGAATAAATTTTTTTCTCAGTGTATCGCGAAAATACACCATTACATTCAATTGAATTTTCAAGAGATTAAAAATTCAGACGAAAAGTTTCCTGAATTTTTCACGATTTTCAATATTTTTCATTGTTGTATGAACTTGAAAAATCAAATTTCATTGAATATTCAAGAAAATGTACTGATTTATCAATAACAAGATCAATGGAAATTCCATGTAAATTATTTGTTGTTGAAAATTTCAAGATTTTTTACTTGACATTTCAAGAGTAATTTTCCGACAGTGTACCATTTTATTAGAAATTATTTTATCAAATCTTGACGAAATCATGACGTAACAGTTCGAAAACTGGTGCCATCTCGGTATAGGGTGAAAAAGTATTTGATTTGTTCGGTAATTTTTCTCCAACTTTTTCTCCGCGAACGTCTTCAAAGATTGCTTTCGATGAAAGAATGAAAATGAACTGATTTCCATTGTGTCCAATAATCGAACGACCTCTTCCCTTTCTTCCCCTGTTTCAGAAGCCCCG